CTATAGGGCGCGTGCGCTCACCAGAAAGACAGAGAGACAGAGAGACAGAAAGCAAGAAATCACCCCCCAGGGGGGATGGCCACACTGCAGTCCCTTCTCCTCCATTCTCCTCTCAGGATCTTGGGCACGCATGCACACGCGCCTGCCGTGAGTTTAAGCCACCGGGTCCAGGACTTGAATTATGGTTGACTATATGGGAGTTCAGTGACATAGCCATTATGCTAACTGCTGATCCCAACCCTCTTATTTTTGAAGATATTTTATATATAAGACAGATATAATTCAATAGAAGAGGTCTTTTAAAAGCTCATAGAAATGCTTATTATGAAAAAACTGCATAGTTTTTTGTTTTTTAATTGCCATAGAGCACACGTGCTTACCAGAGGGGGAGGGAGAAAGCATTCCCCAGTGGGGTGTGGTCATTCTGAGTCCCTTCACCGTTTCTTTATCCTGTGGGAATTTTGGGCACACTTGCACACACACTCAGAACACTTTTTCAGTCCACCACAGCCAGCTAAGTAGGATCCAAGTCCTTTAACCACCAAGCCATGGGGCTGGACCATGGTTTTAAATTTTTATTAAATCGCCAAAGGGCACATACAGTTGTCAGAGAGACAGGGAGGCAGAAAGAGAGAGAGAAGGAGGAAGCACTCCCAGCACTCCCAGTTGGGGTGGTCATGCTACAGTCTCATCTCCATAAAAAGTTCTTCCAGGATGTTGGGCACGCACACACCTGGTGTCTTTTTTTCAAGCTGCTGGGGCCAGGATTTAAACCATGGTCAACCACATGGCATCCAGCTTCTTTAACCACTACGCTATAGCGCTAGCCTCTTAAACTTATTTAATTTTAAATATTTAAAAATTTAAAATATTTTTGCACCAAAATAAACTTGTCCTTGAATTCCATTTTTCTGTGAACTTTTCCAAGTCCACTCGTATTTTCTGTCTACTTTAAAGTCATTACTAGTTTATTACTTCAGAATGAGGTAGTTGGGTCTCCCCTGTGGCCTAGTGGTTAAGAGAGCCAAATGACTGAATTAACAGTTCAGATCTCAGACCCAGCAGCTTGAAAACATGGCAAGCGTGTGTACGGCACGTGCCCAGACTCCCGGCAGGGTGGAGAAGTGGGGGGGGGCTGTGCTGTGACCCTGCCCCACGGAGGGGAGCAATGAAGGGGGCCTTCCTCTCCCTCTCTGTCTCTGGCAAGCACACATACCTCCTAGCAAATATTTTTAAAGAATTATTTTTAGGGACCAGAAGTTAGCGTAATGGCTATGTTGCTGGACTCCCACGGTGGCTTAAAACTCACGCTGGGCGCATGTGCGTGTGTGTCCAAGATCCCGAGAGGAGAATGGAGGAGAAGGGATTGCGGCATGGCCATCCCCCCTGGGGGTGATTTCTCGCTTTCTGTCTCTATGTCTCTCTGTCTGTCTGGCGAGCGCACACGCCCTATAGCCAAAACCTCTTCAAAA